CTTTTTTTTTCAACTGGTTGAGATATTTATAGTAAAATAAATGTAAATTAAGTTACAGTTACGACTTACAAAAGTTGCAACATACATTTTCATGTAACAGACCGAACTTTCAAATTGATATATCGAACAATATTAGATGGAACTGGCTATCTTAGCTTCGTATGGAAAATGTATGGGTAAATGTTCCATGGAGTTAAAAATTCCACGGACAAAGACAATCTCTAATTTACATAGAATTATTGGGGACTCGGCTTCAATCCTTTCCATGTATCATGTTGCAGTTAATGTTTTGAAGAAAAGACTCAACTCTATTATTACTTCCCACACATAATTTGGAACAACTCACGAAATGCAATTGGCATCAATCTTTGCATAAAAACATGACAATCGTAGCTTTTCATTCTGAACAATCCACACACAATCAAATCAACACACCTCCCCAAATTAGAAACATAACCATCGGGGAAACGTAATTTCTCCACTCATTCGCATATGGTCTTCTTTTGATTCTTGTCTAGAGCATAGTACCCTCTTTTCTCTTCTTCGATTCATTTTCTCTTCCTACAATAGAGTTTCAAATCTTTTCTTGCTGTTGAATTGTCCTTTGTCTTTGCTTTGACATCCATTACAGTGTAAAAAAAAGTTCTGAAATACATTTTTCTCAATATTCATAACATCAAATTTATGTCTAATGAGGTTTGTTTTCCAATATGATAAATCCAAGAATATGTTTTTCTTTTTCCAACCATCATTTCCACATGCTTTATTTACATCATCATCATTTAGTTCAGTTACCTTAAGCAAACCTAATCTTTTAATTTCCGTTAAATTTTTTCCCCATTCTTAGTTGGAGAAGGACCTTTTGTAATTATATGATTCCTCTTAAACTTATTCTTAACCTTTCTATATGGGTGATTTTCCTGGAGTAATCTTCTATGGTAGTTAACCATGACATCTTATTACCATTCTGTAGCCTGAATGCTTGTGTATATTTCCCACAATGTGGACATACAAGCTTACCTGTTGTAGACATCATGACAATATCGCATAAGCTGAAAAATCGCTAATTGCCCACATCAAAGTTGCTCATAATTGAAATTTTTTTTAAAGATATATCATATGTTAATATGCCTTTTTCCCATAATTGCTCTAGTTCTGCAACAACAGGTTGTAGAAAAACATCTATTTTATGCTTAGGATTTGTCGATCCTTGCACAACTGCAGTAAAAAAACATGTAAGGCTCTTTCATGCACATAGAAGATGGCAAATTATAAGGTTTATAATAATAGGGCAAGATGAATATTGTTTTCCAAATTCTCCATGTGGTGTAAACCCTTTTGTACAAAGGCCTAATCTAACATTACGTATTTCGGCTGCAAATTAAGGATGAATTATGTCAAAGTGCTTCCAAGCTTCATAATCGGATGGATGTCACATTATACCATCATCGTGTCCATGATCCTCGGAGTGCCATCGCATGGGAGTAGCTATGGGTTGTGGAGCATACTATCTCTTTAGCCTTGGATTCAAAGGAAAGTAATGCATTCTCTTAAAGGGTACGTACGAACCTAGTCCATGTATATCATACATACAGAGCTACAACAGTTAATCAACTCCACATGCAAACCTAGTGCATGTATTAACTTTTTGCTCTCATACAAACTACCTATAATATTATTCTCCTCCGGTAACCCATCAATCATCAATTGGCAGATAGCATCATAACATTGTTCAAGCATGCAATACTCTAATTTTATATTCAATAGTCTAGCTACAACAGACAGTTGTGTGACTTTTTTACATGAAGACCATAACTCTTTATCTGTTACCTCTAGCATATCAAAAAAAAAAATATCTTCTACCTTTGGCTCCTCCTTAGGATTACTAGTATAAAAATCAGGAGCCATTGCATCTTTAACTATTTCTCTATAAATACATTCATGCTATTCATTCATATTTGTGTGTTAATCCTCCACCCTTAAATACGTATTGTCATCAACAAATGTTTCACCGTGTATATCTAAAACCAATAATTTGGAACAAAACCTGACTTGTACAAATGATGGTTTACAATATTAGACTCTACATATGCTATGTTACAACATATGATGCATGGACATTTGATTCTATCTTGGTCCATAAACCTTTCTTTACTGGTAGCAACGTCTATGAATTTTTAAACTCCTTGTATGAAAATAAAAGAGAGAAAACCGCAATCATCTTTTCTTTCATATTCCACGTTCTATTGGTGTTAATCATCATTTTAAATTTGTAGACTATACATTTAAAGAGCACAATATTATGTTTAGTACTATTGCTTCGATTTGATAGATGGGGTTTGAAATAATCACATATGTACATTATAGATATTGCAAATGTACCTTTATTATAATTTGTTTCACAAATTGACCGACTGATGAATCAATCTTGACAGTTTTCTCGTTTGTACAAGTCAATCAATTTGATGATTTGATAAAGGCGTAGAATATCTGTAGATACGTTTAATTGAAATTGAGAACTGCATAACACATTTTCAAAGAAAGAGTGTATGAGGGAACTGACGACAACCCTTCATCGTGACTTCGATGTGGCGGATGGATACTAGGTCAAAGTATTTGGTAGATATTATTCAATATTTCAAAACATTAAATATAGCAACATGTATAAAATTATTACCAAAATTCTATAGAAAATTAAAGGTTCTAACAAATATAGAAACATTATTATAGTTATTAACAAAATAACAACGAAAAAGGAATAAAATTGTATACAAACTACACCGATTGTCAATAAAGTAACATACACTAAATAAATATATATGACCTGATTGATAATTATAATATAACCATTTAGTTTTACTAAAATAATATAAACACTATTGAAAGTCATTACTTAATAATTACAACCATTTTTCATTTGTCTTCCATATATATATATATATATATATATATATATATATATATATATATATATATATATATATATATATACATGAATCCATAGAAAAAAAACCAAAAAAAGAGTATGCACAACATCTACACACCATTATCCATTAGTACACATTCCTAATAAACCTACAAAATTTACCATACTCTACATACCAACAACAAACTTTGCAATACTTCTGTGGGTAATCCTCTTCTATAATTAGCGCAAGTGCAACTCCAACAGAATGATTTTTCTTTTTACATTGGAAGGTGATGTTATCCGTTGTAGGTTTATGAACAACACCTACAATACTCAACAATTGTCTAGCACTCTCAACATTATCTACATACTCTGAAAAATCTGGAGCATCCCCATGGAAATATTCATCAAGTCTATCCGAACCTACAAGTACACATTAAAAAAATTACAATCCAATGTAGTAGTTTCAAATTGGATTGCTAATTATACAACACATCATAAATATTCTAAAATCTATTTTTAACATTAACACTAAAATTAAAGATTTATGTGGCCCATACATTGTGTAAAATATAAACATATATATTAACTATATACAAAATGTAATGTACATATATACTATAGTTTGATCACATTCAGGAGGCCCTTTTGATATGTAGATCATCCTGAGCAAATAATTTGCCTCGCAATGATGCTCATCTCCCGCATCAGTCAGAAACCTCAGTCCCAAATCAAAATTTCCCCTACAGAAGTACTTCTCCTGTTAACAGAATAACAATATCATTAAGACCAATAACACTAAAAATAAATTAAATTAGATTATATGAAATTACTCAAATTACACGTACCACTCCTTGTCTATACATTGCTTATGTGTTACCATGATCTGCACAGTTGTATATAAATGTGTCAAACATAAGAATTTTGGAGCCCAACCCTTCAGTAACAGGAAACTCGTCGAGGGATGCTTGTTTGAACAGTTCACTTTCTTTCCCCGTTGCATTCATCTTTTTCGAACTTCAAAAATTGAAATTTACATTTAATAATTAATAAATAAAGTTATACTTCAACAAATATACGTTCATAAGTTAACATTTATGAGAATTACCAAACTCTTGTAGACATAATGTCTTTAGCAAATTCTGACCCTAACATTGCAATAATCTGACTCAGAATATCTACAGGAAGATCATCCAACGAAATACACACTCTTGTATTCGACATTCTACTTTAAAATAGACATTGCATAAGTTTATATCATTTTCTAAGAAAAAAGGGGGAATTTTCAAATACGGTGATTGATTACAACTTACAGTGGAAGAAAAATACCTTACTTTGATGCACTAGTCATGGAAGAAGTACCGGCTTCAATAATATTGGCCAAAACCGATTATGATAAATATTATCTATCAAGGATTTTAGGATTTTATTTGATCGTTGCTAGTTTGATCTTGGGGAAGATTGCAGACGGTCGGAATGGCCTGAAGAACTGAAACGACATGATGACGTCGGAGAAATCATGGCGCCTAAAAGACGTAGAGTGCAAGAAGACCAAATTTCCCTTGAAATAATTCATAACATGTGATTAGTAAGGGTAGTTTTTTCACAACATATTATTCAAAAAAGCTAACCTTTTTTTGTACATAACCGTTGCAATTGATCTATGCCTTATCAAAAACCCATTAATTAATGAGAAAATGATTAATGTTGGATTACAAAGGGTATTTTTGTCAAAAAAATCATCTAAAATAGAGAATTATTTTATATTTTGCGATTTTGTAAGTGAAGGTAGGTAATTCAATCTACTAAATGTTAGGATGCTAATATATTTGGAGATATATTTATCTTTATCAATTTCATATTTGCTTTTAAAATTGTTAATCAATCTATGGTTGGAATATGAATCATAATAACAAAATATACAGGATTCGCATAAAAATGTTAAAACAACATAAAATAAAAAAACAAGTTGTTATATATTAAAAATATTGATTATAGATAACAAAGTCAAAATATTAAAATGACAGATTATTCAACTAAAATTATCTAATCTATTTACTAAGCTCATTACATTTCTTATTTTTATCTTTCATCATGTCACGAAGGTCTTCAAGATATTTAACTTCTTGTTCTCTGCCCTGATCTCGTCATAAAGATATTTAGATACAACATCTTTGTGAATCAAGTTAGTTGACTCGATCTCTCTTTGCTTCTCCTCATGATTCTGGTTAGAAGTCTCAAGCCTTGGTCTGATTGCATTCATGTGACTAAATGAGTATGTATCATTGATACTTTTGGTGAGGGCAGGCTTCTTTACTTCATAGAGAATATGAGAAGAATTGTTAGCATTCAATGAAGAAGCCATTCTTTTTGAATGGAGTAAGCTGTAGAAGATGTGGTGTTAGATAATTTGCGTATGTGGGGGATTTTATAGAAATAAAGTGTAGATATTCAAACATCTCGACTAATTAATATATAGGGTATTATTTAGAATAGAGAAAAAGTAAATACAAAATAATGCCTTCCACTCATTTTATACTCACATATTAATAATAACACATGGTTTACCCCTCAAAAGACATCAAATTAGAGTGATGAATAAACGGTTAACAATTCCTTTTCCAACCCACCTTCTCTTCCTTCATTAGTAAAAAGCTGCATCTCTAACACAAAATTAATGGCTTATCTTGCATTCAATGTAGCCTTGAAGGAAGATTTCATTTCCTCCATTCGAGAATACCTCAAAGGTTTGGAATCAAGAATGAAAGTAATGGAGGTTCTACTAGGACGGTTATTGAACGACGAGAGAAAGACCAACGATATTCTAGATGCTCTGTTAAAGGAGGAAGTCTCGAAGGATGTAATGGATGCAGAATATGAGTTGGGTGTGGTGAAGTCATACACGAGAGATCTAAATAAACATTTAATAGACTATATGCTACTCTTGACTAGAAACATCAAGAGGAAGAAGGAGTTTCTAAACACGGTTATTCAATGATGTCGATTAAGGGTTGGAAATAGTGTTATTTAGTTTAATCATTTTTTAATATCCCTTTATTATGTGTGTAACTCCATATGAAAAAAATTTGGTCATGTAATTCTTTATTATCAGATATTAAATGTTCATTATATATGTATGGTTTAAATTACCAAAAACAACCTATATTATATTGTTTGTTATTTAATTTCCATATGTATATTTTTTTGTTAACGAAATTAAAAAATGTTTTACTTATTTTGATTAAAAATCCATGACGTTTTAAAGTTTTACTTCCATTATGAAAATGTTTGTTTTTATGGTCGTTTCAATTATATTGTGTAATTTTTTGGACATTCCAAATTCAGCCCACGACCCATGACTTATAAGCAACTACCACATGACCCATGAACAATTATCATCCATGGGTTTACCATGACACTATAAGAAACTACTACATGACCCCGTGACCCATATGTCGTCCATGGGTAATGGAACTAAGTCATATGGGCCAGGGTTTAAGGATTATGGCATGAAGTCATATGGGTTAGATTTTTAGGGTTATGGAATTAAGTCATATGGGTTAGGGTTTAAGGGTAATGGCATTAAGTCATATGCGCCAGGGTTTAAGGATTATGTTATTAAGTCATATGGGTTATGGTTAATAGGTTATGTCATTAAGTTATATGGGTTAGGGTTTAAGGGTAATGACATTAAGTCATATGGGTTAGGGTTTAAGGTAATGACATTAAGTCATATGGGTTAGGGTTTAAGGGTAATGACATCAAGTCATATGGGTTAGGTTTTAAGGGTTATGGAATTAAGTCATAGGGGTTAGGTTTTAAAGGTAATAGCATTAAGTCATGCGGGCCAGGTTTAAGGGTTATGGCATTAAGACATATGGGTTATGGTTAAAGGGTTATGGCATTAAGTTATATGAGTTAGGGTTTACGGGTAATGACATTACGTCATATGGGTCATGGTTTAAGGGTTATGGCATTAATTAAGTCATATGGGTTAGGGTTAAAGAGT